AAGTGTAGGCGTAAGATAAATAAAATTTAATTCAATTTTTAAAAAAAGGATTATTCGCAAGAAAACGTAAACTTTGACATAGCATGGAACTTTAGGTAAGTCATGACAACGGAGTTCTTACCTCGTTGATGTGCTTGTAGGTCTTGATGAGGTCGACGCTGAGTTTCCTAAGGGGCGCCGTCGCTGGATCGCGAAACCTGTGGGGTATCCTGGCCTGCATGGCGTGAATGTCCGAGGGGGTCTCCTGGGGAACTCCGCCGGCAGCCCCGCCACCCGCGGCACCGGCTCCACCGCATACCGCGGAGGGCATGGGCTCCTCGGCCACCAGGCGCCCGTAAAGGGGTGCACCGCCGGTCCCCGTCCTCCCGCTCACTGAAAGCACCAGGAGACAAACGGATCAATGCATGGCGACGGTCGAAGAGTACTCACTTTGATATACCCCGCGTGCACGTTCGGCCTTCGAGCACTGATGGGAGGGGGAGGGGTATGTACACGGGGAAGAGGGTTACTATATCGAGCTTCTGCTCAATTAAGTTCTGTTCGCTGCTTCCTTACTGTTACATGCGACATCGGACACAATTATATCGAGACATGCCACGTCGAGATCAAAATGAGACATGGTTACCCCGCGAAAGCAGAGAGGTACATGATAGTTATTATGATCTTCGACTTTTGAGTCTCGCAAACATGACTCTCTAATAATGCTCAACTTTTGACTTTTAACTTCAAATCGACATTTCCAATTCTGTTATTTTCAATTAATTAAATCAGTAATTCAAATTCAGGATCAATTAAGATTTTACTAATATTAATTTAATTAATATTATTTTAATGGCTTTATAGAAAGATCAGTGCTTTAACATTAAGACTTAGTCGCCAAGGAACGGTGCATAATGTAGTTCGTTCAGAAATATTAATTAATATTTTAAACTTATAAACTATAGGCAGAATAAAAGAAATCTTGCTATCTTAATTGTGCTTCTATTAGAATTAATATTAAAATTATTGATTATCATCAAGTATCAACTCTAAAATCCTGATGACAAAAAAATAAATATATAATACATAAGAGATTATTATTCAGTACAATTATATGCTCATACACACACATAATATTGATTTTTTTAATCTGCAATGTAATTGCAGCGAAAATTTAACTAGTAGCTTTGCAATATACCGTGAGAAATGGATCAATGCGTGACCGCGAATTTATGATCAATATTTGTATTTGATGTGTAATATTGACATTTATCTGTTAAGTTTCATCATTAGATAATTAGATTCGTGTAGTAATTAGGGAATGTCAGTTGCAAGTTGTTTTGATCGATGCTGTGACGCTAAGATGTAAGATTATTGTGTTTGCAGTGACAAATAAAACGGTTGCAGACTTGATATGTAGCATGAAACTAATTTGATTAAAATTAAATATG